TCGGGTCTTCCTTCTGTGGAGGTTCTTGATCCATTTGGCATTCTTTTTAATTCCGACAGAGAAGAATTCGGTTTCATTCTTCTATGTCTAGATACCCAGTTTCCCTAGCACCCTTTTTTAACAATGCTGTCTTTTTTCAATGGGGATTTTTGACATCTTTGTAAAAAAGAATCAAGTGGCTCTGGATGTGTGGTTTATATCTGGGTCCTCAGTCTTATTTCATTAATCAGTGTTTCTGGTGTTGCTGTGTTTGTGCCAATAACATGTTCTTTTTATTGCCACTCAGTAGTAAAACTTAAGAGCAGGGTTGGTGATAGATACCTCCAGCAACTTTTTTTTTTTTTTTTTAAATCCAAGCTTGTCTTAGATGGCTGGAGCCTTTCATGTTTCTATATGAATTTCAAGATTCTAGCCGGGCACAGTGGCACATGCCTGTAATCCCAACACTCCAGGAGGCAGAGGAAAATGGATCTCTGTGAGTCTGAGGCCAGCCTGGTGTACAAAGTGAATCCATGACAGCCAAGGCTACACAGAAAAACCCAATCTCAAAGAACCAAGGGGGCGGGGAGAAAGAAAAATAATTTTAAGATTCTTTTCAATTTCTATGAAAAATTGCTTTGGAATTTTTGGTGGGGAAATTTCATTGAACCTATAGATTATCTTTGGTATAATAGCCATTTTCACAACATGAACACCACCAATTCATGCACACGGGTGTTCTCTCCATCTCTGTCATCCTCCTTGGTTTCTTCCTTTAGGATTTTAACATTTTTTTAATTAATTAATTATTGGCCAGCCGCAGTGGACGCCTGTAATTCCAGCACTTTGGCAGCAGAGGGATGGGGTGTAGCAGCTTGAACATGTCTGTCTCTCTCAGTCTTCCAACCATCTCCCCGATTCCCCTCCATCTCTCCCTTTCTATGAGAAAACCCATCCAACTTGAAGACAGGCTTTACTTTGTATCTATTCCTTGCCTATCTTCTTGTTTAAATAAGGGGGTGCAAAGAGCCAGCAGCAGTTCAGCAGGTAACTAAAAGGTTCTAGTCCTGCAAGTCTGATGACCTGAGTGCAGTCCCTGGGAACTCCAAGGTGTGAAGAGAGGCGCACACACGTACGTGGATTCACAAAGTAAAGAACAAATATTTTTGAAAACAAAAGGTGAGAACAAACAAAAACCACCTAGACTGTTCATCCATCTATCCATTCAACCATTCATCCATATGTATCTGTCTGTCTGTCTGTCTGTCTGTCTTTCCATCCATCTATCCATCCAATTTCTTGCAATTATTGTTTTTGGTTCTGCTTTTAAGACAGGGTTTTATGCTACAGCCCAAACTGAACTGAAACTCACTATGTAGCACAGGATGGCTTTGAACTTACAGGGAGAGCTTTGAGAGTGTTGGATTCAGACTTGAGCCACCATCCTCAGCTATATTAAAAAAAGTCAATTTCCTTGCTTGTTTTTTTGAACTCTCTCTCTCTTTCTCTGTATGTGTGTATGTTCATGTTTCCAGACAAGGTCTCCGTTTGTTGCTCAATTTTGAACTTGAACTTGGTAAAATGTGAAGCCAGGCTCACTATGCCTTTGAGATGTCAGCTCCCAATTATTTAACTTTCTTTGTTTTTAGTGTAAATTGAACAGTCCAATCTTAGCAAGTAAGGGGTTTGAGGCATTTGCTTGTACTCCCAGAGCCCACAACAGAAAGCAGCTACCTTTGGGGAAATTGGGAATGGGGAAGTAGGTATTTATTGGTTATTGGATATTCTTTTTGAAAAAAATATATTCATAAATGTAGAATAAATAGTGATGGTTATCCTCAGGATGGAGAACTTGAATAGAGGACATTAGTTTATTCCAATAAGTAAATGTTATAGATTCTATGACTTTCTTCTATGCTCTCATCTCCCTACTTTTTTAGATCACTTGATTGGTATTGCTAATGAATTTTCTTTTTTTTTCTTTCCTTTTTTCCTTCTTTCCTTCTTTCTTTCCTTCTTTCTTTCCTTCTTTCTTTTCTTTCTTTCTTTCTTTCTTTCTTTCTTTCTTTCTTTCTTTCTTTCTTTCTTTCTTTCTTTCTTTTTTTCTTTCTTTCAACAGGGTTTCCTGTAGCCCAAGTTGGCCTTGAACTTGCTTTGTATTGGAGACTGGACTTGAACTCCTCCTGATCCTCCCACTCTTTTGTTTTATTTCGTTTTGTTTTTCAAGACAGGGTTTCTTTGTGTAGCCTTGGCTGTCTTGGACTTGATTTGTAGTTCAGGCTGGCCTTGAACTCACAGAGATCCGCCTGCCTTTGCCTCCCTGAGCGCTGGGATCACAGGTGTGCACCACCACGCCCAGTTGACCCTCCCCCTCTTGAACCCTTCATCCTCTTGCTTCCATCTCCCAAATGCTGGGATTCCATGAAGATGCCATCACACCCACTGTCAGCTCATTTTATTTTATTTTTTCCTTTCATTATTATTGTTAGCTTATTTTAAAAATATTATCACAGCTTTATTCAACATGTTTTTATATAATTTACTTAATTTTACTTATGAGCATTGGTGTGTGAGAATGTAAGATCACTTGGAACTGGAGTTACAGACAGTTGTGAGCTGCCATGTGGGAATTGAACCCCCATCCTTTGAAAGAGCAGACAGTGCTCTTAACCACTGAGCCATCTCTCTAGCCCCCCCCCCCCCCATATATATATATTTAAATATAACTGAGGGCCTCTTCCACACTCAGTATTGCTGGAACCGACAAGGTCCTGTGTCAATGATAAGGCTTCCGTGCTGTACTGCATGACCTTGACTAAGATCCATGGCTGTTTCCACCTTCGCTTCTTCAACTAAAACATGAGTGAATGTAAGCTAAAGAGTAGTCTGTGTCCCTCCAGGAGTGGAATTCCTCATTCCTCATCTCTGCTTTCCTCCTGAAAGTTTCTTTGAACTTTATTTGTTTGTGACAGGCCTGAGCTCTGGTAACTTAGGCTAGTCTCAAATTCACTACATAGCTGAGAATGGCTTTGAACTTCTGACAATGATTTTTCTGATAAAGTACTCAAGCATCAATTCTAGGTCTTCAAGATCCACGTCCTAAATAATTTCCCTAGAAGCAGGCCCAGGCTGGATTATTCATTTACTTTACAGAATAGTTAATTGACCATGTTTGTTATAGATAGGCATTTGATCCCACCAGTCAATACAGTGTGGGCATCTCTGCCCTTTATACATGAGGAAGCTGACACTAGGAAAGGTCGATTTAGGTACTCAGGTCATGTAGCTAGGTACCTCACTCAGTCTAAGTAGGGGCGGAGAGAGCTTATTCAACCTGTTTTAAGGCTCTGGGTTCAATTCCCAAAATTGCCAAAAGAAAAAAAAAATGACAGCTAGAAGCTGGTGTGCTGTCATATGCCTTTAATCTCAGCACTCAGGAGGAAGAGGAGGGAAAGATCTTTGTGAGTTCAATGCCAACCTGGGGTGCATACACATAAAATTTTTAACTAGAATTTTAAAAAGTTGAAAAATAAATGCTAGTCTTTACATCAGAATATTCTGAATACATAGCTATCTTCATTTACTCATTTTTAGTTTTCTACTATTTTTTGGAGACAAGGTCTCAATATGTTTCTCTGGATGGCCTGGAACTCAGAACATAGACTAGGCTAGTCTCAAACTCAGAGAGGTCTGCTTGCCTCTGCCTCCCAAGTGCTGGGATTAAACACTTGCACTACCATGACCTGCCAATGTTATCATCATTTATGAGCTCTACCAGAACATATAAAACCAAACACTTGTGAGGAGTTCTTCAAAATTCATATGCTTGCTGGGTGGTGGTGGGGCACGCCTTTAATCCCAGCACTCAGGAGGCAGAGGCGGACGGATTTCCGTGAGTTCAAGGCCAACTTGGTCTAGAATTCCAAGACAGCCAAGACTACACAGAGAAATCCTGTCCCAAGGGTGGGGGTAGGTCCTATGTTTTAGGTAGTAGAGAAATAACTCTTTTTTTCTTGCCACAATTTGAAGACAAGTCATGCTTGATACAGGTTTCCTTAAAGACTGAGTAAATAAAGTGCACAATTACTTTATGACTCTTAATACCGCTGGAGTTTGGATTAAAGACTAGGAAGGGTTTAGCTGGATAGTGAGAGAGCCTGCTTTCCTGGGTACTGGATATGCCGTGAACTTTCTTTACATCACGTGCTGTGGTGACTGAAGACGATGTCGCCATGGGAAGCAATGACGATTAAAGTGGTCCACGGAAATCTGAGTGCGGCTGAGTGCTCTGTACACAAGCTCTTGTGTGTGGCACCTTGTACTGGATGGCAGGAGTCTGTTCCCTTCAGGGCAAACGACAAACAGGTGAGAGACTAAGGCCTAATAACGGTGCAAAGGCTTTTAAAAATAAATTTTGGCACAGTGCCACGCAAGGAACAATTTGGTGATTATTCTAAAAATATTATTTGAATAGCATCGTATTGGAGCAAAAAGAAAGTAGGGCGCTTTCTAGAACTTTCCTTCAATTTCTAAAACTCAGACTTTATATTTAATTTAAGAATTCCAAACTCTGTCAAAATCATCGGTTTAAGGTGATCTTAAACCCAGTAATCTTCCAGTTCACAAGCCGGGTTCCAGATCGCAGTTACCTGTCAGGAACTCCAAACGCATACATTAAGAAACAAAAGCAGAAAACCCACATCCTTTTCTGTAACAAGCGAAGACGGGGTACCTACCGCTGTAAAATTGCACATGCCTGGTGTCCTGAACCTAGTCTGGGATTTTTCTCACAGGCGTGACCTCTGCTCCTAGCTCGTAATTGCCAGAGGGAGAAACAAGTGTCAGCCCAAAGGAAAACCCTGTTAGGGTTTTTTTTTTTCCCTTTCTTTCTCTTTAAACCGGTCACTTTTGAGGAGGAGTCAAAGTCCTCGCCTGGAGAGTACCATCTTTTCCCCACCCCGGCCACCTCACCCCCTCGCCCTTCCCGAAACCCTCCAGGGAAGAACTTCCCCCGGGCACCCGGGTTCCACCCGGCTGTGGCCGTCCCCCGACCCCGCCCGGCCCCCTCAGCCCCGCGGGCGCCGGGTCCCCAGGCCAGGCCGGGGTCGCTCGGGGCTCCCGGGCCGCTGCCCCCAGGTGCGGCGGGGGAGGGGCGCGGGGCGGGGCGGAGAGGAGGAGTGGCGCGGAGCGTGTGCGGCCGGGGAAGCCATTGCCTGGTTAATAGTTGCTGTTGCTGCACTTCCGCTTCGCTCCCAGCGAGAGCGAGACACGAGTGGCCAGGCCCAGCCGCAGCCGCAGCAGCAGCCGCGGCGGCGGCACGGAGCAGCCAGACACAAAGAGAGGTGC